CATCGAGATTGCAACGCAACCGTCGGAATGACTCATTCTCACTTGACCGCGCTGACAGAGACTTCATCACTATCTCAGGGTGTGTCTCTCTCATCTCTCTGAGATAAGCAACTCTCTCTCTAGTTCTTAATGTGTATTTAAACGCGGCACTTGACACTTTAATGCGAGCGATGATGTTTCTAAATTTAGGTAAAACGCACAGAATATACGTAAGAAGAAATTGCACGAGGAGGCACACGTAATTCTTATCGCATTTATATTGCGTTATACTGAGCTGAACACTGACCCTTTGGGGGGTTTTTTTTTGGGGGGGGGACAATTTGAAAAACATCAATTAACAGAGAAATATTATCCAATGATTATACCGATGATAAAAAATAATTACATATATAAAAAAATCATAGAGAGGTAAATTTATGTAATCTGTATAAAGTCAATTGATAGAAGAGAGAGTGCTCCATTAAAAGAGCGATCATTAAAAAAATAAGCAAAAGAGAACGAGTGACAAAATAACAACAAATGTCAATCGAGTCTCTTTCCTAATCGATCGAAGTACGACACCTATCGTTGTGACATATTTTTGAGGTCACGCATTGGAATATACGATGCGAAGATATTCTTATCTTCTTATATTGGACGTTCGTTCCAAGGAAAAAGAAAAAAGGAAGATATTCCGCGCGAAAGAGGACCCAAAATTAGGGCCTGGTGACGGGAGATGAATAGCAGATATCTTTAGTCGAAATTCTAATATTAGCCCGGCGCGTTCCTAGTCGATACTCCAGACGTCCACCACCACCACCACTACTACTAGTACCTACCGCTACTACTACCACAAACGGTACTGCCACCGTAATCGTCAGATTGACACACTCGGCAGCATGACGCATGTACATTGTACATGCATGTGCACGCGCGAGACGAGACGAGACGAGGCGAGGCGAGGCGAGGCGAGGCGAGAAGTCGTCCTCAAGAGGAAAAGACTGAGGGAAAGGATAAGACAACAAGGAATCGCCTCACCTTTTACAAACTAAATAAGAAATCCTCGACGTCAAGGAGAGTGCTTCACACGACGTTGTCGCGCGTCAACCGGACCTTCTGCAAAAGCTGCACCGCGGATAACATCGCCTCCACCATGCCACGATGATGCGTACTAACACTAGCTGCACCGAGCCATACCGTCCAGCCGCGCACACGCCGTACGGACATTATACCGCAAAGATCACCAACTATGGAAGTGGTGGGAACAGGATTCTCGACCATCGAGCCGCGTAAGAGTCGCACAACCGATCGGTGTGGCGCTATCTGGAGCGATGGGAACACACTTGGTAACGGAGCGTCGCGAGATAAGAGAGCCACAAGCCATATCATTCCACTCCAGGCGAAACGTCCAAGAGGAAGGACATCGGTACGAGGAGTTGCGGTTGGTTGCGGTGAGACGATTCGTCATTCGATGAAAATGAAAAGATCTTTTACATCGCCAATCAATATCTGTAATATAGCCGCAATGTTAACGCATGTGCGTTAATACATAAATAATTACGATATTCGTGTTTGCCCATATAATCGTTATTCACATACTCGTGACGCAGAATTAAAGATACTGGACAACGAGAGATAAAGTATTGCCCTGCGCCGTAAATAATTCGATTTATATCACATGATGTAGAGAAACATGAAAATCTATCAAATGAAAATTAGTACAGAGGAAATGGAGAAATTTAATAATTTTAAAAAGAAATGATTGAAATATTTTTGATGAAGAAATTATTGAATATTCATATTCAAGCCTGTTTATATTACAAGATTTCACCCACAACTCCTAATTCTCAATTAATTCATTTCTTTAATTTCTTAATCCATTTCGATTTCAAAGTATGATATTTCAGTAATCTTTCTGTAGCGGATGTATTGGAAGATTCAGCACTAAAACTCGAATCGAAACGAACAAATCCGCGTTCTTTATGCGTGTCAAAGAAATGATCCCGCGTGGCGGGAAGCAAAACTTATTTTTGTTTCAAGGTACTTCTGGAGATACGAAGTTTATTTATAGAAATACATTCTCTCTGACTGTCAGCCGCGTAAACGGAGAAGGAAGCGCGAAGAAGGATTTACAAAGAGAACATGCGAACGATAAGAGCGGGCGGTGCATCGATCGTTGTCGTTTCCTGAAAGCGTACTATTAATCTTACGCAAACGAACGTGGGAAAAGTATCGTCTCGTGAAAGTGCATATATTCCCACCACGCTTTTCTTATTGTCGGAATAATTCTTTCTTCTTAAGCAAATAAAATCTGAGTGCGAGCGTGGCGTAGCAGGCAGCGCATGAGTCTGCTATACCAGAGATCCCGGGTTCGATCCCAGGCAGAACCGAAAAATGTTTTCGAACGCTCGTAGCTCCTCTCGGAAGGCAATGGCAAACCACCGAGAGTATCCTTGCCATGAGCACTTCTCTAATAAATAGTCGTTCGGAACCGACGTTAAACTGTAGGTCCCATATGACTGTGTACAACCAGCGCGCGCACCACAGACATATGAGAGAAAAGTCATCACGCTCGGTCGCGAGCAATAGGACTGAGAAGAGAAGCAAATAAAAAAAATAAAGAAAAACAGTGCAAAAATGATGATAAAATATTTGATAACAGTACCTTTCGTCGAGAAGGATGATGAATTGGTGAAGAATTGTGGAGAGTCGCGGTTGTTTCTATTAGTTCGATTCTTGTGCCTTCGCGAACAGATCCTCTTGGGCTCGACATATTCTCAGGCTCTCTCTTCAATGCAACGAATATTTATTTTGATTTCCTAGTGCGAAATATCGTAGATAATGCCATTTTTATTTTAATCAAAAATACATTTGAAAAAAATACACACACATACACAAGAATATTTAAATGTTTTCTTATATATATATGTATATATATATATATATATTGTTCCTATTATAGTAAATAGACGAAGACAGTATATGGAATATGTTATACATATATTTTTATTAAATTTACTTAAAAAAAATGTGATAATATTAATTTTTTTAATGAAAAAAACCTAATTCTTTTTCAAGTTTTCAAAAAAATTATTATTTGCGATGTTGATCAATCTCTGATTAACTTTGTCAACATTATTTCTTTAAGAGTAATATACGAATAAATGTATTAAATGAATTAGTAGAGTTATATTTAACATATCGAAAAAAGTTAAGAACAAATTATATAGAGACTTTGGCTACGTTTACACCGTGCATTTAGGCCGCGGCCTATACAATAGATGTCCTTGCTTATCCTGTAAGTTAAACAAAAACAAAAACACCTACCATATAGGTCGCGGACTAAGAGCACGGTGTAAACGTAGCCAATTGCTGGATTCACATTGCATCCGATTTGCATCCAATCAGAAAACAGGATTCCGATGGATTTTGTTTCGTATCATCGGAATTCTGTTTTCTGGTGAGTTGAAGAGCGTCCTACGACGCAAATCGGATGCAGGGTGAATCCAGCAAATGTCATGAGCGATTTTACCGGTTGATTGTGTCCATTTCTAATTTCTACCAATATCAATAGCAAGTTAAACCGAGGTTAAAATTAATCTACATTGGTGAAAATAAATATTAACGGAGAATTAAGTTAATCGGAGTCGAAATTATCACTCTATGATTTCGAGAATACAATGAGACGACACTGTTTTACACGCCGGGTCTACAATGAGTCAGTAGTCTTACAAGTTGGCTGCTGGCCAATTTTCTACCGATTCACCGGCTCAGTGTAGACCTAGACTTGGAAATTTCGTTAATAGAATTAAGAGTCCTCCGTTCTTCTCTACCCTTCCAAAAAAGTAGTTTATCGTGAAAGATCACATGCAAAAAAGAATGAAGATTTGACTTTACTTACAGGAAATTGAAACACGCGAGGTCGGCAAAGCTCTTGTACTTTTGCTCTCTAGACTTACTTGGAGAGAGAACAAAGAAAGTTCTCTTCACACGCAGAAGCGTGTTTACACTGGTACTTCTGTCACTTGAGGTCACCGGCACGCCGCACAAGCGATAGCAAGCGACAGTGGCGAATGTGGCAATAGCACATAACACCGGCAATACGGAATCCGACAAACACCTCGGCCACGTAGATTCCTAGTGTACGCATTCAACTTTCACACCACCGCGTCAACCAGTTCCGTCCAGTTACAACTGTTACAAATCTGCACAAGTCTGCGACGCGAGCAAGCTGCAGCAAGCGAGCAAATTCGTTGCGCGTTTCACGATCCTTTGACTAACGGCTGTAAGCAAGCCGTTTGATAAACTTGAATGCGAATGCAGTGACGAATCAGAATGCACCGTTGCGTTTAACTAGCCGACACACTGCGGCACCACTTGTAACAGTTCGGGTTTCCGTCTCAATCGGTAAGGTAGTACTATCGAACGTGATCGAACGCTCCGCGATACTAATCGATCATCGTTCAAGTTGAATTTGAAATCAAATTCGCATGCGGATCCGCGTTCCCGCCAGTCGCGTCTGTTGCGCGCCGCGCACCGGTATCGATCAATAGCGCTATCATGTTCATTTCCACTTGTATGTCTGTAGATTAATTTTAATCTCAATTTCACTTACTTTTTATCCTTTTCCGATTCTAAAAGTTAGAAATAAAAAATAAAGAATAAGGAGTAAATTGAGCCGAGATTAAAATTAATCTACATTGCTAAAAATGGACATTAGTTGTGCTTAACTGAATTCTCTCTTTGACTCGTTGGGGCATCTAAATTTATTATTTAAATTAAGGAATATACAGAAAGAGGTAGATGATCGTTCGAGCCAAAGATTGTTTTATCCACTGTAAATCCGTGATCCTTTGCGAAACGTACTTTGTATTTTCTCACACAATTATATCGCTACGATGAATTCATTTTGTTATTAAATGACTGAAATAATTTGAATAAATAAATTTTTTTACAATAATGTAAGTTTGCAAAATATTTATTGTCAAACTCATTATACAAATATGTATAAACCACCACGTTATTACATGTCAGGCAGTGCAAATTCACCACAAAATTTTAATGCTTACTCATTAAAGGTTATTAGTCTTTTTTTTTAATTTTAATTAATCGTGATACTTAATCCTTGCACTCATCCCTCACCATTCATTCTCAATTTAAGGATATAAAGATATTGTTTTTAATAGACTTTCATAATATACATAATAAAAAACGCATTCATCCGGCCAGGTAACGCACCGCCGTAATACATTGTATTACGATAAAGCGAGTTGTATAAAAGAATACTATTCACAATGCTCTCTTTCGAAAAACAGGTAAACATTATTTAAGGACACTTGTTGTAAGGCATTAGTATTTCTCTTCTTACATTCACAAAGTTTATAAAGTAGCAAAGACAAGACGAGTCTAATCTATTAATGTAAGACTAAAATTTTATTGTATTGAGCACAATCACAGAAAGCAGTCATATGGCTGCTATTTAAAATGGATTGGTAAGTGTGCTTTCAGAGGCATTTATAAACAATGCAAAGCCATAAAGCACACTTTTTCAAGTGTCTCTCTGTAATAAAATAAGTGATGTTGAATTAATTGTGCTATTTTATAATCATTTGAAAAATGCTTGATATCTTGTACCGAATCTTATTGCTATTTCGAAAGTGCAATCGTTCAGTACCATAAAGATGCGATTAGGAAGCATCGTATTATTTACAATAACGTGTCAATATAGCATTTGCCCAAATCTGCACGTACTTTTTTCGAAATAACTCATGTTTCTATCTGAATTATCGTACTGTAATTCGCGACTGTATGATAAATACATATAACACAATTTACCATATATAATGTATATGCGAAGAGGTTGTAAATATTTAGTTATGTATAAGGATGTAATTGTGGTGTAGGACATGTTGATAACGGAGAACTTTTTTGATTACTAGACGGCGGAGTTAAAAGGCCACTCTCGTTTGGGCTTTGTCTACCAGGTTCAACATTTGTATCCGAATCGTTCACATAACCATTCGGGATTTCTCCAGCTAATCGTTGCTGCGCCTTTTCCAACATATTCAAATCGACCACGTGAGTCTGTATGCGATGCGATTCGTCTACAACAATATTAGGTACAGTGGCCTTCAATCCGGATCCAGAGTGTGATTCTACAAGTGTAATCGTAGATCTTAAAAGAGACTGGGAGTCCTCTTCCGCGACGGTAGTAGCAAATGCCGTAAGCCATTTGACACAAGGAGCAAGCTGTTCCCATGACAATCGGGATACTCTTAATGCACATTCTCTTCCTTGAGTATGATAAATTGCTGCTGCAGCTATGTGACTGTATGGAAACTTTAAACAACCTTCGTCCAAAGTCGCCAGATCTAATAACTGAGCTGCTTGAGAATATTGCAATCCACCATACTGTGGATATATGAAAGTGTTTGGTTTGGATGAGTCGCCTGATTCAATCTGCATGTAAATATTGAGCCATCCTGGAGCAGTTATCGGGGACAGATTCCATCCAAGTCCTTTCAAGATCATTAACTCTTTTCCCAAAATTTCTTCTTCTGTACAGGCTCCATCGGTGACATATGCAAATTCCGCGATTTTAGGTGGATATATTTCTTCAACCTGCAAAATTATTTTTCGTTTTTAAATTTTTAATTTGTCTTGTATTACATTGATATTTTGAGATTGCAAAAATAAAAAAGTAAAAATAAAATTTTATTTACTCCTTTTTCTCAACTATCATGTATGTATACATAATTGTAAATAAAAAAAACAAGTAACAAAATTTACAAACCTTAGAAGCAATAAAAAGACAAGTTATCCCTATAAGTTGCAACTGGTTTTTAGGTACGTCGTGATGAATAGACAGATATCTGTCTATGTAGTCCATAGCGAGATAATAAGTCTCTCTATGTAATTTATACACCTCACAGACCTCAATCAACCAATCTAATAAAATGGCTCTCATCCGTGGCTGTAATGTTGGATGCCTCTGGAACATTTCTGGATCCCTTTGAATTAAAGTTTTCTGATCCCCAAGGCACATGAGAGACCATACTTGGGAGCCATCGGCCCATGGTAGAGACGGCAGCGGACTAGGTCTAATGGATGTGCTATTGGAGGCTGAAGGCGTTAAGAAACAAGTTGCACTTCTTAATTCAGACCATGTAGCAGGCTCTTGCTGTTCTTTCAACGGAGATGTCTGATGTTGGGGAGTACATGCAGCATCTACTGATGGCGTGGTATTACAAGATTCCGTGTATGAGACATGAGACAGCGTAGGTACTTTACTAGGTGGATATATGTTTTCTGAATCTTCTGAGAGTTCCGTTGTACGTCTCTTGCGTTTCAAAGACTGGGCTCTGCCTCCTTGCAAATAAGTTTGTGCCTTCTTTTCCTGCAAACTAAATACACAGAGGAAAGATTCAGTTCTCTCTATGCAACGTTCTTCCCCATATCATCTACTTCTATCAATTCAATTTATATAAAACAGACAATGTAAATAAATCTTCTAAGATATTATTTTTTGTGACAAAATACAAAAAGTTAAATAGTTGTCAAATAATTTATGGAGCTAATATAGTGTTAATTTGCAGATTTACAATGCAAATAAAGCTATCTAAACGGCTAAAAGATAACAAACTTTTATTATTACATCGCTGAGGGAAAGCTGCTAAAATCTCAGGAAGGAAAGTAACTAAAGGAAAAAGGTTATAGGCGTGAAGTTTAAGTATAGACAGAAAAAATGTATTTTTAATCGAGCAATGGATAGGCACTGAATCGGTTTCATTGTAAACTAAATGATTTGGAGGTCACGAAAGAGAGATATATCTGAATTTTAACATGAAATGAAATATCGATCACTCACCTGCTCTGTGGCATTTTGTCGCCGGATTGCCAACACGTAAGGAAAATATTTGCAGTCGGAAAAAATTGTTTCCAAGTGTATACGATAACGGAAACTCTTGGAACGAGCGTGCGATGAATTTTTTCAATCCAGGCGCAATAATTTTCTTGGGAAAATGACGAAAAGTGAAGGAGCGCGCGAAGCCTACACGCACCCGATCGCCATAATGCACGTTCTCTTAGCCGTCTTTGATTCACCGTATCGACTTACGATTTTCGTTCGGAGTCGATTTCGGTAGTCGGAAAATTCATTAATCTCGCCTCTGAGCTATTTTGCAGCGTATGCGAGTCGCGAATCGACGATATTCCGAGAAAAATAGAGGACGTGGATCTGGAAGCGCGGGAGAGCAGCGCGCGAAACGACGACCAACCCCTGTACGCCCCGTAACGCCCTCTATATGCGCCACATAACCTCAAAGGGGCAAATTTTGGAAATATTGATTTGGTAATTTCACGCACGACGCAGTCACGATACTTCGACTCCTGGATCTTTCTTCCTTTCGCGCGACAGTTTTGATTTATCTGTCGACCGAAAGGCGACTCCACGATAAGCGTCCTTCCGCAAGTAAGGTATAGCTGGGTCCAGCGAAATCAGGCCAAATTATCGTCGCTTAGTGCTTATTAGTGCAGCGATCGACGTCAATTAACGCAGGCTCCTAGGATGCAAGGTTCTAGGGATGGAACGCAAGTCCAGAGAGTTTCGTGAACCATAAACGAAGTCGCAGCTACGCGTCGCGTACGCGTCTCCTCGGCTGATTGCCGCTCTCGTCACGCGGATATCACCCTGGTTTGCACTGGCTTCGCCGTCGGAACGGAGCAAACGTGAACACCCTCGCGTGTCGATTAACTTATTATGTTAATTTGTTCGCTCGAGGCAGATGACGGAAGACGCGAACGCGTTTCTTCCGTGACGCGAAACGGAGCGAACTCAGCGAACTAGCGCCTGCAAATTGGCCGAATTGGCGTTTCGCGGGAACGCCGCGCCGTCCCGACAGCCGAACTGCCGAAGCGATGGGCGCCACGCCGCGCTGTGCCATCCTCGTCACCGATTGGCCGAGGCGCGCGGCACAGCTGGCGCTCAGCTGATCCGCCGTACGCACACCTACTCGCGTGCAAGTCGCGGCGGCCGGCGCAAGTGTGTGCTCGTGTGCACCAACACGCACGACGATTGCATCGCGGACACCGCGCGGGAAATGTGCGCGCGTAAATCGCCATACATAAATCGACGCAGCGCGGGCTTTTCCTACTTCCGTAGGTCGCAGGCATAAGTAGGCAAATGAGAAACTTGTGTCTTGCCAACGCGCCATTAGTGTCGCATTACCTGCCTGCGCGATATTCCACTGCGCCTCGAGAATATCGAGGTGGTTTTCACTCTTTTTCCGCACAAATTCATCAAATTATTATGTGCCTACGACATCAATAATGTATACCTCACGTGTTATGCGATCAACAGTGTAGAAAAAATGAAAGATATCTTTCTTTTTAAGTAAATACGCAATAATTGAATGTCTATAAAATAGTGAGATATTTCAAAAGCATTCAAAATTAAATACACAGAATACAAACGAATAGTAACATATTACGCCGATATTATAATTTTCCGCTCAATAATATAAATGTAATAATATAAAATAACACGTGTATGTACAATGTTATAATATTGACGGTAAGATTACGTGTCGGATTGTGTTTTGCAGAATGTTAATTATGTACTTAATTGGTTTCAGTATGTGTATGCATGCGTATATTGTATCGTATCATGATTTCAAGATTCCAACTCCAATTATATATATATATATATTCAGAAATTATCTTGTCTTTCGTAGATTGACACAGATGTATAAATTGAAAGAACTATTTGTAAGGAGAAATACGTCTGTTATAAACAAAGTCATAATTTATTCGCGAAAGTAACACTTTCTCCTTATCATTTATTACAATTCGTCAAGATGCGTCAGCAAATTTATTATCTATTATTCCTGAACGTCTTAAATTATTTATTAATCCTTAAGACAAGACATTTTTGAATTTAGCGCGCTGTGATGTCTGCTGTTTTACCTACAGGTGCTTTAGATTTTCAAACAACGATCGCGATACGGCGCACTTGTGATTGAGTCGTCTCGCGAGAAATCTAGTCGTCTAGATTTCAAGTTGTTCAAGTTGCTCCAAGTTGCTCCGATAATGCGCTTGGAACGTACACACACACGCACACACACGCGCGCGCGCGCGCGCGACACACACACACATAAGTCTTACATTAGTATGCGTATATAATCTACACGCATCTATATATGTATTACACGGAGAATAGCGGAGAAACCGATGATGAGAGAAGCGGAACAAGATAGAATTGACATGACTTTTCGCAATTTTACTTCCAGGAGAATATTTTCTTCTTCTTCTTCTTCTTGTATTGAGCAAGCAATAACACGTCTGACGCAACATACGTGCGATGGTTAATTAAAACATTTAATTTAAAGCAGTAAAGATACATGTCATGTTATTGTCTCTGAGATTGCATGTTATTTTCTCATACTCTTTACATTTCTTAATAGTAAGTAAATAATAAAATAAAAATATTTTTTACAGACACTTTTTCTATAATAGCTCGCATATGAAAATCGCGTATGAAAAGCTTTATCACTATTTGATGAACGAAAGAAATTCTTGACACGATGCGAATGAATTGATGCGTTGCGTAAAAAAAAAGTAAAGAAAAATATAACACAGCTAGAAAATCTTGAGTTTATGACAAAGGGAAACTGGATGAAATTGACAATCAACTGACAAAGAAGGAAATCTGGGGAATTGAATGAATGGAGGTCGGATGGCACGGGGCGGCCATGCGAGTTGCACGGCCCTGGTTTTCTGGAAATCGTCAGCGATCCGGAGTCCGGGGCCATTAAACGCGTTATATGAGTGTCTTGCAATTTGATCCTGCGGCGCTCACAGCTCAGAGTGCTCAGTCAGCTCAGTTCGGTCAGGTTCGGTGGACGCGGATGGTGCAGGGTGCAGTGCCCTGATCGGATTGGATTGGAGAGTAATTTACGCGAATTCCTGGGCATCCGGGTCTTTGTCCGGTCCGGCCAGACCTCCTGGGTTCCTTTCCACGCCCGATGCCACCGTTGTCTCTCCGCTCCCGTTGTCGCGCAGCATCCGACACACACTCGTCGACGGTCGACGGTCATCACGGTGTGCGCGAACACAGCATTGTCTTGTCGATTTTTCGGTGAGTAAATCAGGGTAAACGAGACGTATTGTGTCAACGCGTGGTCGTGATCGTCACTGCGATCGTTAATTCGTGAATATCGTGATCGACGGCGCGAACGCTGACCTAATCTCGACCGTGAGTGCGATAGTGCGATAAGTGCGAGTGTCAACGGTGGACGGTGTTGGTGAATTCGTAAAAGAACAAAATCTTGTTTTCTCTCATTAATCACGAATTCGTATGTAGCTTGATTCACACACACACGCTCCATTTATTATAAATCTTGAAATAGTTTCTACGCTCTTGTGCACGCAACACTGAGTAATATTGTATGAAATATCAAAAATTCTGAGGGCACTTTACTATGTTTACTATTGTGATTTGGAGATTAGAAAAAACATTAAAGAGATGCTATATTTTTGCAGAGTAAATAAATGCAAGTTTTTGAGTAATGCAGGGCATGATGCCAGTTAAGACAAAATCACGTGTTACTGAAAATATGGGGGTCACAGGTGGACTGGTAGATGCCCGTGCCAAGCAAGTTTTAAGAGAGGCTGTAGATGCAGTTGTTAATAGCTTTGCAAAACATAGTCAAGGTTATGGCAGAGGTATATTATAAAGAAATCTTTCTTATTATTAGCTTAATTTTATTAATTGTTTGACTACTTATAATTTTGTATACTTTTGTATATATGTATATATATTTACATTTTTTTTCTTATATATATACAGTAAATGTCGTAGAAGCATTGCAAGAATTTTGGCAGATGAAACAAGCTAGAGGAACAGAATTGAGAAATGGTGCATTAGTTATTTATGAATCTGTTCCTGGTGCCAATCCACCTTACGTTTGTTATGTAACACTTCCTGGAGGATCGTGTTTTGGGAGTTTTCAAAATTGTCCCACAAAGGCGGAAGCACGTAGATCGGCTGCAAAAATCGCACTAATGAATTCTGTATTCAATGAACATCCATCGCGAAAGATTACTGATGATTTTATTGAAAAAGCTGTCGCAGAGGCAAGGGCTAGTTTTGCCAAACCTTCAGCAACATCCAACGGAGTTGGTAGCCAAGCACAAGTAAATAAAATAAGAAAAGTTATTTATTACATTAAATTAGGAACGATCTTTAAATGCATATGCTTTCAGGGAAGTGGTGATGAGAAAGAAGATCCAAACACAGGTATAGGTGCGTTTCGTTTTATGTTGGAATGCAATCGTGGAAGAACAATGTTGGAATTTCAAGAGTTAATGACAGTCTTCCAATTGCTTCATTGGAATGGCTCTTTAAAAGCCATGAGAGAGAGGCAGTGCAGCAGGCAGGAAGTAGTCGCGCATTATAGTCATCGGGCATTAGACGACGATATGCGTAGCCAAATGGCATTAGACTGGGTTGCTAGAGAACACGAAAGTGGTGGTGGGATCGTGGCAATGGAATTGGCCTTAGCCGAACGTGAACTTGAAACTGCGCGATTAGCGGGACGAGAACTTAGATTTCCAAAAGAAAAGAAAGATATACTAATGCTCGCACATGCGCAGGTTTGTCCGCAGTGAATTCTAATGTGAACGTCACTAAAATAAATAATGTACAAGACTGGTCTTTTGCAAGGAATAAGTTTGCAAGGAAAAAAAAAATAGTTTTTTTTTTAAGATTTTAAAAGACCGTTTTACTTAATTCTTTCTAGGGCTTAACTTTATGGCAACGAAAACAACTTTCGTCCTTTTTATAGAGCTTTTTTTTTATAAAGCATTTCTGGTGATAATAGATCTTAAATGGGATATTTTGATTATATAGAAATACTAAGTATACATAAATATCATCATTAAGCATTATAAAGATATACTGTGTGCACACAATATAGAACACTCGCATTTTTATATATTACATTTTACTTGTATGTGTATATATTTTGGGACGCAAGGCTTTGTCTTCCATTATCTATATTTCGTAAGATGTCTGCTTAATCATCAGAGTACAATTCAATAAGATCGACAAATATAATTTCGCAATGTATTTGGAATTGAAAAAGGGTATGAAATGTGTGTGTGCGCGCGCGCACGCGTGTGATATTCACAATATAACTATAAATTATAAATTAACAGCATTTTTAAGATAAAATTTTAAGATAACAATCATACAAACGGCAAATATATATATATATATATGTAATTAATTTTTATGATTTATAAGAATTCTGGGAATATAAATTTTATAAATAACTTGCATTATGAGATATAAACAAAAACAAACTATTAGTATACCATGATATCCATTGGGTGAAAAGGTTTTTTACCTAATATTTTGCAAGTTGGACACTTGCTTTTATATCACGCTTGTTTGAAGATATACTCTGAAGAAATACATCATTTTAATATTCATTCATATTGCTGTTATAAATTAGTATGTTTATTATATGCCAATTTGAAAGTGAATATATCATTTTCAGTTGAATAGGATACAATTTATAATTGTTTTATAAATAGTTTATTATTATTAAATAATGATACATCTTTTTAATGAATTTATTACAACATACCAATAAAATGGAACCCATGTATCCTTCCTATTCAGTAGCACTAAGGTTTTTTTGATACATTATCCGTTTTCTCCATTGCTGTCTCTGCAGTTTCTTCTTGCATAGGATGGGCCAATACTTTATCTATAATTCCAAACTCTTTAGCTTGTGTTGGGCTCATAAAATTGTCTCTCTCCATACTCTTTGCTGCAATATGATTTTTATAAAAGAAAATTAATATGGTAAAGCCTAGATATGATATGGCAGGCATACCTATTTCTTCTAAATTCTGTCCAGTATGTTTCACATACAGTTCATTGATCTGTTGTTTCAGTTTAAGGATTTCTGTAGCTTGTATCTGAATATCTGTAGCTTGTCCTTGTACACCTCCTGATGGTTGATGTATCATGATTCTAGCGTTTGGTAAAGAATGACGCATACCTTTGGTTCCAGCTGCTAAAAGTAGACTTGCCATAGAACACGCTTGACCCACACACCATGTAGAAATAGGTGGAAGAACATATTGCATAGTGTCATATATTCCAAGTCCTGCTGTTACACTCCCACCAGGTGAATTAATATATAAGTGAATTGGATTTTTACTGCTTTCCGACTGAAGAAAAAGAAGTTGAGCAATTACTGCAGAAGCTACAACATCTGTGACCTATAAAGATGATTGACTTTATTTCTATAAAATTATAAATTAATGTGTAAATATAATAATAAAAAAATTGTGCATCTTACTGGACCCATAAGACAAATAATCCTTTCTTTCAGGAGACGCGAATAAATGTCATATGCACGTTCACCACGTCCACTTTGTTCCACTACAATTGGAACAAAGTTTAAATATCTACTGCTTACTTTACGTCCATAAGTCTGTTAAAGAAAGAAAAAAGAAAGCTAAATTAATTTGTCAATTTTCACAAAGAGATTATTTCAAAAGAATCAATTTTACGTTGGATATATTTTTATATTTATAAAATACTCACCGTGATCTGTAGTAACCCATGTATTTTTTGCAACATTATGACAGAATATGGTAGCACAATAATTATTTAGAAAGAAATGTTTTCCAATAAGATAATTCACGTAATGAGATATGGGGGCAATTACAATATCTCTGAGTAAAGACAAAAATGACTTATTACGCTATAAAAAATATAAAATCTTCATGTCAAATATAACCTATATTCCAAACATACACCAGTAGAGGTACTAAATAAATTCTAAGAGATTTTCGTTACGAGATCGTTAGGAGAACGTACAAAAGTGTAAGAGAAAAAACTCTTTCATGCCTATTAATTATCTTCTTCTTGTTATCAGATATGAATTACTTTTTGTTTCGTACAGGTTATGTGTTTTACATTTCTCAAAATACGCTCTTCTTCTCTCACTCTCTCTCTCTCTCATTCGCATCAGAAAAAATCTGAGAAGTGAGGAGGATCACTCAAACTAAAGCCGGCGGCACACGATGCTTG